TAATTTTTAAATTTTTTTATATCCTGCCATCAGTTTCCTCTCCTCCTAGCCCCTCCCCCCCAACCTTTCCTCTGCCCACCTCCACCCATCCACTCTTCCATTTCTCTCCCGAAAAGGACAGGCCTCCATGGATATCAACAAAACGTGGCACATCAAATTGCAATGAGACTGGACACCTCCCGTCATATGAAGGCTGGACAAGGCAACCCAGTATGAGTAAAAGGGTCCCCAAAACAGAGCCTGTCTGTCACTCTTGTCTGGGTGCTTCCTCCACAGAATTATTTATCACTATCGGTGCTAGCCTGGCATAAAGCGGCATGGCCAGAGTGCAGACGGATACCTGGAGCTCCTTTAGACGTCCAGGGCCCCCAAAGCTGGCTCCTCACCATGGAGAGTCCTTCAGCAGGATCTACTACAATATGGCATTCACTGCTCCTGCCTTGGAGCTTAGGCCAGAAACCCAAGTTATCCCTGAGGCTATATATCCTGCAGCCCAAACCAGGTACCCACAGAGTGAGACATGGTCCCAGCTGCAGATGAAGGTTAAGATTCAGGAGGGTCTCATCAGCCTTTAGGGATGGGACAATGGCAAAAGGCACTGCTCCATGCTCTGCTGAGGAATGACTTTAATACGGGTACATTTACTGTATGTCTGGGTGAATGAAATAGGCAATTTCGAGGCACGTTTGGATTTTCTCTCCCTCTGAGGAGTGAGAAGACCCTTGGGTTCCAGCTGTTGTGTATACCCTGTTTCTATCCTGGCCTCTCCTGAGCCACAGGGATGGGCCCCACATCTGTGCTCCACCCTATGGTTCTATCCATCATCTCTCAATTTAGTCCTGGTCCATCTTCCTTCCATGCTGTCTCTCTGCCGTGGCCACCCCCTTTCAATATTACTGCCCCCCTTACTCAGTTCCACTGTCTCAGCCTCAAGACAGGGTTCTCCTGTGACCCTCATTGCTTATGTAGCCACCCCCAGCTCCCTCCTTCCCAAAGGCTCCTGCAGCCCCTCTCTGTACTCTAGACCCCTGCTTAGCCCTGGCCTGCCTTTGTTCAGGCTGGGGTTTCCTTCCAAGGACCCCCATCTGCTTTGCTCTAACCCCCTCTTATTTCTCCAAGAAGCCTCATTAGTTAGTTGTCTGACACCCAGCCAGTTTCAAGGGTGCTGGGATCACTTGGCTTCCTGAAAACCCCTATAGTCTGGTAAGGAGACCCATGCAGCATGTCCAGGTAATCGATGGACACAGGACTGCAGTGCCCACTCCAGCCCTGGCACCGGAGGCCAATAGAGAATGACCGTGAAAGCTTGACCTAGGAGTCCCTGTCTGCCTAGTCCAGGACTATATGATCCTTTGGAAACACAACCTGGTGGAGCCCATCATATGCCATGGCAAGGTACAGAGGAAACCTGCCCAGTGAAGGCAATTCTGGACTCTTTCAGCTGCTGACAAGCATGCACCAAGATGCTTTTTAAAGAATGTTGTTGGCTTTGGAGGCAGGCGTGCTGGATACTGCAGAGAGGCTGCAGTGTGGCTTGGTTTGTGTTTTGTAGCTGGGGAACTCCTGGAGGACAGCCTAGCCAGATGTACTCTCACTGAGCTTAGAGCTGCCTTGCCTGGATTCCATTGCTAATACAAAGTTTTTAATATCTCTTTAATATCTCTTTCTACAATGTGCTTCAACCACTATTATCAACAGTAGCCCAAAACTTACAAGCGTGCTTAAAACCTCCCCAGATCACCAAAGCAGATTCAAAAATGTCCAGAGGCCATGTGAAGGTTGTCCTGGGACTAAGAAGCCATCTCCTCATGGGACAGCTGCACCCTCCCCTGCCCCTGTAAGGAGATAGTATGGGAAGGACCTTGAGTGGGCTGGAATCTGGTTATTCTGAGGTTGGAGGCCAGCTGACTGTTACTATCTAGCCCAGATATACCTGTGTGTCAAAAAGCGCAGGTAAGGACCAATGAGATGGCTCAGTGGGTGAGGTTGCTTAGCCACTAAGGCTGATGACCTGAGTTCCATCCCAGGGACATAAGTGGTCGAAGAAGAGAACTGACAACTACAAATTGTTCTCTGGTCTCCACATGCATGTGGTGACACACACACACACACACACACACACACACACACACACACACGTCCACTCACATATGCACACACACAAGTAAATGCCATTTTAAAGATTTTTTGCAGGGGAGGCAGAGACAAGCAGAGCTCTGTGAGTTCAAGGCCAGGCCTGGTCTACATAGCCAGAGCAACATAATAGAGAGACTCTGGATGGATGGATGGATGGATAGATAGATAGATAGATAGATAGATAGATAGATAGATAGATAGATAGATAGATAGACAGACAGACAGACAGACAGATGTTTTTAAAGAAAACACAGATAAATTTTGCTTTTGCAGACAGACTCTTTCACATTACATCTGAGAGGCTTGGTCTGCTGTCAGGGCCAACAGGCTATTTGCCCTTAATAGAGTTCTGATCTCTGTGAGTAGTGTTTGTGACAGCTGAGTGGAGGGAAGGTGAACAGATTTAGTTCCTGGGATGAGTTGGCCAATGCCTACACTCACACGAGGGCATCTGATTATGGGTAGCTTTGTGCAAATCTAATGAGCTGTAAAAACTGTGTGGTTTGATAGCACAAAAAACAGCTGTCTGTCGCTGTCATCAGTGTCCTGGGCTTGGGGATGCCAGACTAGGCATCATGCTTTGGTAGCTGTCTAAGCAAGAAGAAACCAGGAAAGGCAGGTGACCATCCTTGGCACATGGAGACAAAACAGTCCTTTGAGGGCTAAGCTAACCCTTCCAGTGCCCTGTGATGAAGCCATTGGTGGTAAAAATGGATCTTAGATGGCTTTTAAAAAATAGCATTTGGGGTATTTCTTCTCTTTTCAAAAGAGTTAAAATCCCTTCCTTAGGTTGAGCCGGAAAGGCTGGGCCTGGCAGCTTTCTGCATGAGTGGTCACGACTTCCCGGGTTTGAAAGGCCAAGAGAAGGCCGCTTTGCCTGCTCAGTCCTGATGGAGCCTTTACAACCTGTGAATGGAGAGGTTCCATGGGAAGGGATGTGGGAGGAAGGGGCGGGGTGGCTGGCTCCTGCACAGCTCTGGGGGACCTTCAAGATGTCGATCTTTTGGGAGCTGCCAGCTTGGTGAGATAAAGCAGGGTTTTTAACAGCTGAGGGCAGATGCCTTCAAGGAGACACAACCATGAATTTCCTGAACCATCTTGCAGTGGTCACAATGGCCCTCTGCCTGCCTGCCCCCACCCAGAGCCTTTTCCCCCATTCATAGAAAGCAGCTTAAGCCACTTAAGCGCATTAGCATCAGGATGGGCCAGGACCTCCATGGGATGCAGGGGGCTGGGTGGCCTTGATGCCCCTGGTTGTTTGGGTACTTGTCCTAATCCTCCACAGTTCCAAGGCAGCCAGACTGATTTGTGACACGGAGTCCAAAAGCCACTTTGGGGGCTTGGCTGGGTTAGCTGATCTGTGCCCTGAATGTCAATGGCCTGGCCTGGAGTGTGTTTGGGGAGTGGAGGCCTGGGCTGGAATGCTGCACATAGGGCTGGCTCCACTCACCCTCGTCCCCATCCACCTTATAGGATGGGTACTGTGTTGGTCCAGCTGCCTAGGAGCACCTGGGGTTGTTCCAATGGGTATCTGACACCTCGGTGGGCCCCAGGCAGGAATGAGGTGCAGAGCCCTGAACTGAAGCAATTCTGCATCTTCACAGCACAGACCTCCAAGGGATCCTGTAATATTGAGACCTTAAATGGTCAGATACTTCTGAAACTGGTTTCCTTATAAGTAAAACTCATTCTCTTTGTTTAAAAATAAAAATACTTTGTTTACATGTGGCTCAGTTGAGGACTGTCACTAGCCCCAAGTAGTTCCTCCTATAATCCCAGTCCAGGTGACAGGCTCTTGCTTTCTCCTTGACTTGGCTGTTTATACACGTTTTGTGCAACTGTTCTATTGGCCAAGAAAGTAGTCACTCCCTTCATCTTCGCCATCAAGGCAAGAGGCAGTTACTTAGAACCTCCGTTTGTCTAAGAGGTGCTTTGCATTTGTCTCTAGGAATCTTGTGTTGCCTTATCACTTGTGTTGTAAGTGTCTTGTTTTCGCTCCAGCCCCCTGCAGTGTGTGTATTTGGGGCACAGGGGAGGGGGAAGGCTGTTGTTCCTAGTGGCTCCTGTGCCTGGGAGGGGGGCAGTCCCCAACTTTGTCCTGCCTTTGGGGAGTGGCCTCTTTGACCCCTTCCTGCATGTGTTGAGGTTAATTCAAACAGGCATGAATTTAATTACCCACCAATGCTCTAGCTGGTTGCTTTTGGTCCAGGACCACCAAAGAGCACAGCCAAGCATGCAACAAGAAGGCTGTGGTTGCTTCATAGCCACCATTCATTCCTTTGGTGGAACAGACAGCCTGAGCATTTGCTGATTTCATCAGGCTGCTTGCCCCTCTTAGGTCCTTGTCACACCCACGCTCAGTTCTCCTGACTCCTGACCAGAGCCCAGGACTTATCTCCTGAGATTCTGACCTTTTGACCATCCACTTCTGCACCTTCTGGGCTTAGTGTCCCATGCCATGGCCCTTCTACATCTTGACAGCCTTAGCCAGCCCTATAGGGCTCAGGGCAGCCAGCAACAGCAAGGAGCCAGTCCCTTGAAGGGCTCAACTTGCTGCCTGGCATGGGCACTGCTAACAAAACCTTGCCTCTTGTAGAAGCATGAGCATATTGCATTTGTGTTACACTATCAACTACACTCAGTCAGGGCCCTGTGTAGCCTGGTGGAGGGCCTTCTGAGGAATAGCCCATAAAGACTGTCAAGCTGTTCTCCTGGAGTGCATGTGAAACCTTTGTGTCAAGGAACCCTAATCCCCTTCCATTCCCATTGGAGACATTGGGAAACCATTGATTGTGGGCTTTGGGTGATACCAACTGGGGCAATGGGTAGACAGACGGGGACTGAGCACCCTTGTCTTCTTGCAGACGCTCTGCACAAAGGCCACGATGCAGACAGTCCGGGCTGCTGATACCAATGAAGTTGTAAAGTTGATATTTCGGGAGTCAGACAATGACCGGAAGGTAAGTGGCTCATGACTAAGGGCAGCCACCAGCCACCCGGCCTGAGGAGTGGGAGCTGTACAGGCACTGAAGCATCTCTGACCCGGCAGGTCGTGCTCCAGTTGGAAAAGAAGCTCTTCGACTACTTCAACCAGGATGTCTTCCGGGACAACAACGGCACTGCGGTGAGTTCTGCTGTAAGGTGTACGTGTGGTCACCCTGGATCCTTCCCATGAGACACTCCTTGCCCTGGAGTACCATAAGCATATTTGCATGTGTTTGGGCCACTCAGAGTTCAGCTTGGGCTCCAGGCTCACTTGGTGGGAGTAACTTATAGGGCTGGGGCAGGGGCAGGCTAGGCTGCCACGATTATCGTCCTGTCAATGAGCAGCACAGTGTTCCTATGACCTATGAGCGCAGCAATCTCCTTGTGAGAGTGGTAAGGTCCTGCCTGCTACTGTGAAAACCAGAAAGTCCATGGCCTTAGGTATGTCCATAACCAGCTGCAGCCCCCATTGGGGCAAGCAGGTAGGAGATGAGTCTTCTTGTCCTCAGGCAGTTGCCCTCAGCAGTGGTCCAAGAGTGTGAGCACGTGCAGACCCTAGGTACAGATTCAAGTACTTCAAGTCAGGTACTGTTGCATGTGTGCATAGATTTACTCTCCCTGACTTGCTGTGACCTAGCTGGATGCCTGTTTCCCCTCATGAGGTATGGAAGGATACATGTAGAGTACACGGAGTGGAGCTGGGTACATCAAATGCTGATGAAGGGATGCAGTCCATCTGCATCTCTCAGACACATCAAAACCATCTGATGGTAGGCCTGTCTCCTATATCTGCAGACCCAGTACAGGAACTTTAGGACTCTTGAGAGCTGGCTGTTAAATACAGTGGCCACAGTGTAGTTTAGGATGCCCACAAAGTAGAGTTTATACCACGGAGATTGTCACGACACAAGTACAGCTCCCACCCCCAGCATAGCTCCACATTGACAAGAACGTAGTGAACTGCATGCCCTCCATGCTGTAACCTCTCTAACAGCTATGCATCTGGCCCAGAGTCCAGCAATTTCTGTGACTCCCAACTCCTCCTACTAGTCATGCCCAGCAGCTCCTCCTCGAGAAGCCTGAATCCATCTCCACTGCTGTGGCAGGCCTACCCACCTGCCGTAGGGCTGATTATTAACCTCACTCCTGCAGCACGCCCTGTTGACTTTGCAAGTAACACTAACTCCACTGCTGCTGTCCACAGGAGAGCGTCCTACAGTTTCTCCCTCTGTGTCCTTCAGAGCCTCTGATGGATTCCTTCCCCTTTCCTTTTCTGCTTCAGTGCCCACTGGTCTCTTCCTGCATGCTCAGTCACTCAAAGACCATAGCTACTGGTGGTTCCTGCTAGAGAGGCTTCCCTAGGGCAATAATGGTTGTGTTAGCCTGCCAAACCTGTGCAGGAACAGGCTACTTTCCAGTTCACTTCAAAAGAGTAGAGCAAGTTGGGCATGGTGGCACAGGCCTTTAATCCCAGCAGCACTCAGGAGGCAGAGTAGAACTGGTGAGTTCAAGGCCAGCCAAAGCTACATAGCCAGATGCTATCTCAGAAGAAAAGGGAGGGAGGGAGGGAGGGAGGGAGGGAGGGAGGGAGGGAGGGAGGGAGGGAGGGAGGGAGGAGTAGAACAAGGACCTATATGAGCCTGGGCCCCTAGGTGATGTACACTGGCCTCTGCTACATGGTTTCCAAGCTAAGAGAAGGCCAGGGAAAGGTGTTTGGGGGGCCCCCATCAGAGCTTGCTCTTTTGATCCAGAGAATTAAGGTCACTTGGGGCTTTGCACAAGGCATGAAGCAAGTGAGGTTGGATGCAAGGGCCACAAAGGACACAGAACATTTTGGAAGAAGCAGAGAGACAGATAAGGAGACTCCAGCAGCTAAGGGGAAAACAGTTTGACTTCGGGCAGCACTGGGAAAGAGAATGGAGAAATGTGTCCTAGAAACATCCAGGGGTATGTATGCCACTGGGGTCCAGGGCTCTGGAAGGCTGCCTGAGCATCTAACAGAGAATTTGCTGTGCCGTTGGAGTGACCAGCCTTGTTCTTCTCCGGGAGATAATCTGCATTCAGCACACACTCTCTGGCCTTTCTTTAAGGTGAAATCTGAATGGTTATTCCTGTGCTTCCATTACTGCAGGGCTGTAGGCAGGAGAGGTGGGAATTCAAGGGCATCCTCGGTTGCATAGAGTTTAAAGCCAGCCTGGGCTACATGAGACCTTACCTCAAAGAAACAGAAGAAGAAGGGCTGGGGAGATTGTTCAGGGTAAAGTGCTTACCATGCAAAAACAAGAAACTGAGTTCGGATCTCCAGTGTTCTTGTTTTGTTTTGTTTTTTAAGGTCAGGTGTGCTGATCTGTTATCTCAGCATTGAGAAGGCAGAAAGCGGAGGGTCTTTGGGACTCACTGGCCAGCAAGTCTAGCTGAATCAGTGAGCTCCAGGTCCAGTGACAAATGCTGTCTCAAAATGAGCTGGAGAATGACTGAAGACGACACTTCATATTGAGCCATGCCTTCCATGTATGTGCACACAGATGTGTACAAGCACCCCAGCACACACATACGTGAACACACACAAGAATTTTTTTTAAAGAAGAGGAAAAGAATAAGTAGAAGGAAAAGTTGCACTAGGCATGTACAAATGTGTAGACGCGGTGCAAGTCTATAATTGCGGACTTGGGAGGTTGAGACAGGAAAATTTGAGGCCATTGGGGACTACATAGTAAGAAAGGCCCTGTTGGTTTGTTTGATTTTTCCATTTTGAGTTGCATTTATTTTTATTTATTCTTCTCTCATACAATATATTCTGACTGAAACCTCCCCTCCCTCCAGTCCTCCCAGTCACCACCGCACCTCCCATCTCCCCCAGTTCCACTGCTCCTCTGTTTACCTTCTGAAAAGAGCAGGCCTCCCAGGGAAATCAACCGAACACGGCATAACAAGACGCAATAAGACTAGGCACAAACCCTCATCAAGGCTAGACGAGACAACCCACTAGGAGGAAAAGGATTGAAAGGCTCTGTTGTTGTTTTGAAAAAGTGTGAACATCCAGGAAATGTTTGGAATTTAACTCTAATATAAAAGTTTGGAAGTAGGGGACATCTCCACATGGTAAGTTCTCGGGACTCCTGCCTATCTGCCAGAATCTTACCTAGGAAGGTACCAGGTTTGCCAGGTGCCTGGAGCTCACGTGGCGCATGCTTCCACGGGCTGCTGCTCAGAACCTGAGACGTACTTGAAGAAATGTCCCAGCCATGCTGCTGATGCCCAGCCTCTGCCCAGGTCACACATTCAGAGGAATTGGCCACCATCACTCAAGCCAACTCTGGGCATTGAGTCCCTTCAGCCTAATGAGCAGTGGAGATAATCTCATCCTCATGGCCTGGTTGAACACGCTGTGCCACAAGCACTACAAACAAACTCCCGTCTGCAGGATGGATGTGCCCGAGCCGGACTCAGCCCCCAAAATCCATCGCATCCTTCATCAGCCACCGGTCTTGTACTCGTCTGACAGAAATTTAATTCAAGCTGGCTCCTGAAAATAATTATTGTATTTTAAGAGTAGTAATCATTGGCCGGGACATGATTGAATGTGTCCATGCGTATTGACTTTTTCTATGATTTATAGCTTTGTTTAGTCGATATTCCCATCGAAATTGTATAATTAATTATAAGTGTGGCTGTCAGGGCTGCAGGATGGAGTGCCCTGGTGAGGATTTGGAGAGATTAAATTTTCCTTGGCTGTCCCAGGGCAGGGCTTGGGAATTTTCTAGGTGCTTGGCCTGTTGGATAGAGATGTTTTCTGTGTGTTTAGCAACCGCCCGGGCTCTGGGTGCATTGATTTTCCAAGCCCTTTTTTCTTTATCAGCACGGTGTCCACGCAGCAACAGTGGAATTTGTGCAGCTGGGACGGCTCCTGACAGATGCATGAGGCCAGCAGCTGCTTTATCATTGTCCACACACATCGGTGCTGCTTTTCACTTTGTAATCAAGAAGAACGTTTAAGATACATTTGAAATTGGTTATCATGTTTGTGAAAAATCTCAAAGAGATACAAATTATCAATTCACCAGCAGTGTGGTGCAATTTCCAATCAGAAATGCCTCACAGTTGATGTTCTGGGGCAGCGGCAGCTTTAATCCCGGTCATCCTGTTGATGTGGCAGGCCTGGAGCTTCGGGCATTCTGCAAGCCAATCACACAGGATCACGGTTTCACCGGCCTGTCAGAGCCAGCTGGTTGAGCATGGAACCAGTGACTCCATCCTTACTGATCTCTGCACAGAAGAAGCAGAGTGAATGTGTGATCAGAGAGAGTGCACATTTGAGTTCCAGAACATGTCTATCTTTAGACAGCACCAGCTAGCAGGAGGATAGAGGGCAGGGTCCAAGTGTGTTTCCTCCAGAGCATGAAGCTGGGGACCTGGGTTAGGGTATGTGGGAGTAATGGGTGACATATGGGCTATGGCCCTAAATAAGGACAGAAGACTTGGGAGTTCTCCACCTGCCCTTCTTGAGCCCCCTTACCTTCTAAGCAGTTTTTAAAATCCAAATTCCAAATTCAATATTTTTTCCTTTAAACATTACAAAATTGAAGAAGGGTTCTTTTAAAATAGAGGTTATGGTGTGACAGTTTCTTCAGTACTTTAGGAAAGTGATACATAATATATATCCACATTAGTGACTTCAGGCAGGAGCCTAACAGGTAGACCCTGGCCATCCAGAAATAAGTGCTGACTCTGAAGAGGCCCCCGGGGAATCCTGGCACAGCTCTGCAGTGTCTTGAGCATGTTTAAAACTGGAGTGTTTAAAACTGGAGAATGTTGGGTGAGTGACAGTGAAGGCCACCCACACACCTGAGGTCAGAGACACAGCTACTCAACGTCCTCATACACAAAGGACACACTCATGTGCATGGCAAGAATTATAGTGTCTTCACCTTTGAGGGAGTCAGAACTGGTCATGACCAGTGGCCAGGTCGGCATTTGTGGTCTGATGCAGAGGCAGAAGCAAAGCTGGGCGGTGGTGGCGCACGCCTTTAATCCCAGCACTCGGGAGGCAGAGCCAGGCGGATCTCTGTGAGTTCGAGGCCAGCCTGGGCTACCAAGTGAGCTCCAGGAAAGGCGCAAAGCTACGCAGAGAAACCCTGTCTTGAAAAACCAAAAAAAAAAAAAAAAAAGAAAGAAAGAAGTAGTCTCCCATGTACTCCCTCAGCCCAGCCCAGAGCTTTGAAGCAAAGCATATGTGTGTATATGCATGTGTATATATGCATGAGTATATGTATCCATGCATGTGTATGTATATAGTGCTGGGTATATACATATTTACAGTCATGTATATTGTGCACATATATATGTAAGTATGTGTGCATGGAATGTTTGTCAAAGAGCTTTAATGTTGATAGCATGGCTTGAGTACTAGGGCCATGGCAGAGATGAAGAATTGGGAAGCTAAACTGTATAACTAGTGGGTGGGCATGGACCCTTGGCTAGCCCTGTTCATCTGTCTTCCTCATGTCCAGAGGGCTTCTGACCTGTGGTGGGTGCAGAGGAAGAGTCTACATGGTAGAGAAAGGTGTGGCCTAAAGATGCAAATGCTTCAGCTGCCCCTTCTGTGCTCACAAGCTCCTGCGGACCTTGGCAGCCAGAGGAAGTGACTGCCCACTCCTGAGCAACAATCAACCTTACACAAAACAGCACTTGGTTATCCAAGGTTAAGTAAATCATGTTGGCCGAAATTCCATCTTTGCAGGGTCCCCGTCTGTGTCCCCAGCCTTTGTGTCCTTGCTCCTTCTAGAAATCCGACCATAATCAGGGTGGAAAATAGAGCAGGCCAAGAGCCCACAGAGGCAAGAAGACTCTACCCTGGTGACTTCTGTAGCCCAGGCAGGTGTCATTCCAGGACTGTGGGCCTCAGACCACCAGGTGGCCACAGGGCAGTGGGTATCCAGCCCACAGCTCCCTTGTGAGGACTCAAGAATTTGTCTACTATTTTCTGTGAGTGGATTAGACTCTCCTGGAGGGTATACCACATTCACAACTAGAAATTTTCTCAAACTTTGAACCAGCAAAGACAAGCTCACAACCCCAATCTGCAGGGCACAGGAGAAGCACTCTACTTTTGATCAAGATTCTGAAGACTACAGCCAGAGGCACAGAAGACCCATGAAAATGCCAGGTGGTTGAGGACACAGAGAGCTTCTGAGATCGTAGTTGTTGAAAATAATTGGATGCATGCCCAGGCTGAGCAGACACAGCTGAAGAGAGAATTTAAAAACTAGAGACTAGATGGAAGAGTGGCCCAGAAGCAGCTCCAAAACTTAGAGGGTATGGCAGAAGGTATGGGGCAGAGACAGGGTAGGAGGACAGAGGACCCCATCCAGCAGGAAGAGATCACCTGCCTGTTTTCACACCTGTCTACATCACAAATCCTCACAAGTGAATCCAGAGCTGGAAGAATGCAAACTTCAGATCCCAAGTGAAACAGCAGAGCATCAAATAGAAAAGAAGAAATCCTACAGTAGCCTGAAGAAGTTGCCATGTAACTCAGGAAAGACAGTAGACAGTCAAGAGTCACAGCAGCCAGAAGCAATGGAGTCAATTAATTGAAGAGTAGAGTTGCAGTCACCTCTCAGGAGCCTATTCAGGAGACCTCATGAGGTTGCATGTCCTCCTTAGAAGTCCACAGTAAACATGGAAAAAGGAAGGGATTTAAGAGGGTGGGATGCTAGGCTCCACCCACTTTCCTGAAACTGCTGTTAGCAGGTGCTTCTGTGTTTTAGTCCAATGCACCTGTTGCTTGTGGTACTTTCTGTCTCTGAGCTGCCTCAGGCCTCCACCCAGACCTTTGAGGAACACTGGCTCCTGACTCACACTGGTGGCACCTCCGAGCAAACATGTTTTTTCCTCTTTTGTTCATATGGTCAAGACCATAGTAGGGCCAGACAGAAGCCAATGTTGGAGCTATGCCAGACAGGGTCTGAGACCCTCTGGCTTAAGTCTGTGAATGTCCAGCATGCCACCACATGGCTCTGAGGTTATGATATTAAATAAAGAGGCTCTGTCTGGAGTGATGTCTTATCCTTTTCTTCTCTCTCATAAACAATATCACCTCAGAGGGGGGTTTCGGCTGGCCTTAACTTGACCCTTGTCCAGTTCCAAGTCACTCTGGTTGGTAAGAGTGGCACCCAGCCTGGTGCTGATCTGATGAAGACAGCTCTGAGAGGGGCAAGCAGGCAGGAGACCCATGCCAGTGAGCAGGTAGCAGGCTGGCACACAAGTAATTACAGTGTACACATGCTGGTAATTGCACATTCAAGAATGATGGATGAGGTGGTAGGAAGAAGTGAAGACATGGTGTGGTTTTGAGGGGAGCCCCAGCACGATGCCATGGCTACACACAGCTGTGAGGTAGGACATGATTAATGGATAGTATCCCAGAGGGTGTTTATGGTGACTGGACAGAGCCATGGCTGGTGTGGCGACCTCTCCTTCCAGCAGGCACAATACTCTGATGGAAGCCTCCTGAGGGAGCCAGGCTGTCTGCCATCTCCTCTGCATACAGAAGTGAATGTTTCCTCCCTGGTGGCCGCTAGACTCTCACCAGCGTGCAGACTCAGCTGCAGTTTATGATGCACTGAGTTGATTTTGCTCATTCAGAGGGTTACTTTCAGCCCTGGACATTTTCCCTTACTTTGGAAAGGACATCCAGGCCCCATTTAGGGGATGCATGCTTTCTGGGGCATCTTCATATGTCTCATGTGAGCAGGACCAGGCAGTCTGAGCACTGTTCTTGCACTGCTCACAGCAGATGCAGCTGGATGCTAGAGCCAGGCTGGCACCCCTGAGTCTTGGTGGTGATGGATCTTGGTTTCTGAGTAGGGCAAGGTCACACTAGATGCTCGAGTCCTTCTTGTTTTTAAGAATTTACACACAACCCAGGTATGCACAGCCCACCACCTTCCAGTGAGGAAACCAAGTGATTCTCTTTTCTTCTTTCTTTCCTTTAGCTCTTGGAATTTGACAAGGAGTTGTCTGTCTTTAAGGACAGACTGTATGAACTGGACATCTCATTCCCCCCCAGGTAAGGAGACCTGCACCTGCTAAGACCCAACAACCTCCTCAGATGTGCCTGTGTGTCAGTGTCAGTGTGTGCATTCATGTGCATATGTGCACACATGCATCTAAGTACATGAATGTGTGCACGTGTGTCTATCTGTATGTGCCCTGTGTACATAAAGACCTGTGTATATCACCATGGCATCTTATGTGTATGTCTGTCTGCATGTATGTACCTGTGTTGTGTGCATATACCCATCTGTGTGAATTACATCTCCTCCCATCATTTCCATGGCCTGAAGAAAGGAATTGGCTGTGCGTAATTAATGATTCTAATTTTTAAGACTTCTTTCCAATGTGAAAGAAAAGTTATAGATTTGCAGGCACAGGTTTGTGGGCAGCATGCTGAGGCTCTCTGGAAGTCTTGAGACTCACCACCGTGTGGCTTCCCTGGCAGAGGGTTCTGAATCTATCTTCTAAAGCAGATAAGTCCTCGGTGTTTCACTCTGGTGCTCCTGGGATCTTGATATCTGCAGCATTAGCACTGGTTCCCTTGAGACATCCAGGGCCTCCGAGTGCTCTGGTGTAAAGGAAGGGGAACGGGCTAACAAAGTAGTGCGTGGTATGTAGTGGACCACGCAGGATTACCCAGCACCTGCTGCAGCTGTGCCTGGCCTCTTGGGCTTTGCATCTTCCTGGAAGCACTGTACAGAAAGAAGGTGGCTCCTGAGGACAAGGGACTGTGGCAGGCCCGAGCCTCCAGTGCTGTAGTGTTCCTTCTCCAGCCCTTTGGCTGTGTTAGACCCCAAGTCTTGTGACCTAAAGTGGTGAGGAGACTTTCTAACAGACTGAATTATGCCAGCGAATTCATCATGTGCTGGTGCTTGTTTTATGCCTACATGGTGGGAAATACTGGGGATCTTTTCCTCAGAATGAGGGTCCTGCATCCAGTGTGTCTGACCCCGGGGAACTTTTCCTCTCTCTGCCAGTGCCCTCCATCTCTGCCACCTGGACATAATCAAACATGTGCGGTTCCTTCCTTTTCAGCTACCAGCTCCTAACCTAGGAGACTAAGGTGAGGGGCCTGGATAGAGTTTCAGGGATGGAGAAACAGGACCACAGGCCCTAGTAATTCCCAGACATCTGATTAGTGTCCAGACCAAGGTATAAGACACTTATACATTGGCTCATAGCAGCAGGGCTCACGGAGGTAACCTCATGAGACTCTGAGCAGAATACCTGAGATTCTTCTCTCAGTGTTGCAGTCTTGGAAGTCACCTGGACACCAAAGGTACAGGACAGGACCCAGCCAGGCCGAAAATCCAGAAGGCCTTGTAGTCTTAGCCCAAGTAGCTAAGAGAGAGCCCTTGACCCACATGGCAACCATGGGACCCGCTTTCCCTACCTGGCAGGAGCAGCTGGCACCTCTCACAGGGTTGAAGCCATCATGACACACTGGCATGTTCTAGTCAGTTGAATGTTTTGTTATCAAGAAGGGGCCCTACACGATGACCCCAGTGTCTGGAGCTACAGGCTTCCAGGAAGGTTCCTTGTGCCAAGCCCAGGCTGGTGGGGGGTAGGCACACCCACTCCAGTCTGTTTACCAGGGGTCCATTCCCCTGAGTAGGAAGCAAAGACAACAGTGGATTTTTAAGGCAGAATCTTTGGCACAAACAGGAAAGAATGTAAGAGCCATTTGTGTGTTCAGAGATGGGGAGAGGTGTATGCAGCACAGTGCCCAGGATTCCCCCAGGAAAGGTTAATTAGCACAGCAGAGAGTACCAGAGGACCCCAAGAGGACCATATTCTCATTTTAGAACTACCTTTGTTGTGTGACTCACCATAGGGGTGTTCAGAGGCAACTGAGGAAAACGCCCTTAAAATAGAGTAGCATCCCAGGTATTGGGGTAGAGCTAGGCAAATCATCTGAGCCCTCAAAAGCAGAGCTTCTTTGGTGAGAGAGTCGAGTTCAGAGTAGTGAAGAGAATTCACATGCTAGCCTGGAAGATGAAGACAGCCTCAAACTAATAGCCATCCAGTGGGAGGCCAATAATGAAATGGGAACCTTATGCCACCTTCCAATGGGCAGAGGACTTCTTGGCATGACACAATGATGCTTCATCTTTGGGCTTTGAGACCCTGAGCTGGGTCCACCCAGGCACCCAACCCAGGGAGACTTAGGGGCAGTCTGTGCCCTGTGAACCGGAAGCCTGCTGGACCGTCAGGCAGCAGGGGTGAAGGCTGGTGGGGCATTGGGAGCCTTCCCCGTACTGTTTGCTGTGAGAGCATGTGTATCCCATGTCAGATCACAGAGGCTCCCGCCCGCCCACAGGCCCCATCTCCCTTCAGTGGTCACAGTCATCTCCGAAGCACCCTGCCTGCTCCTGAGGCCTATCTCCACAACTCAGGATGTACACAGTGTTCCCCACCACCACCTCCTGGGACACTGCTGACGTCTCTCACTCCCAGAGAGGACTGACGTTCCTTCTCCATTTGTCTACTGTGTTGTAAAACGGTGACAAGCTGGGAATGGTGGCTTGCGATGGTAATCTTGGTCACTTGGGACGATCAGGAGGTGGAAGCCAGTCTGGCGAATACAACTAAGACGATCAAACAGTTCATAGTCCTGTTGTGTTGTATGTGTGGTTTGGAGAGCCATTCCAGTGTAAACAGAATAAGCCAAAGTGGAAGTGGAAAAGACCTGGGATTGAAGTGGGGGATGTGAATGGAAAAAAGAAATAAAAAGGAAAGGACATGCCTGTTCCTAGGTATGGGGAGGAGAAAGTTTACTGTAGATAAAAGGGAGAGCATAGCCAGAGTCAGAGACATCTGGGAGAGTCCAGAGTGGATGTGACCCTGAGCCATATGAAGAGAGGATGAAGGGAAGGGAGAGAAGAAAGGGGGAACCAGGTGCAGCAGCCAGGAGGCTCACAGGGAGCCTGGTAATGAAAAATGATTGGATTATATAGGGAAGGGCAGCTGGAGGAAGGGCAGTCCACCCCTGGGCTGGAGAAGTTTAGGGCAGGGGGCAGGGTATGCCAGCCAGGAGGGCCCTGTAACAGGTAGGGACTGAGGGATGCCAGGAGAACTTGGTGGCCAGGTCTGCTTTAATATATTAAATAGACACTTCAGCCATTTGTCCCAGATTTGAAACCTAACAATGACCAGATACATTCTTAGTCTATAATAAAATAGATAGTCTTAGGCCAGGTGTTATGGTACACATCTTTAATTCCCGTTCTCATGAGGCAGAGGTAGTCTGATCTCTGAGTTTGAGGCTAGCTAGTTCTTCTACACAGTGAGTTCCAGGCCAGCCAGGGCTACACAGTGACATAGTGACTCTGTCTCAAAAAAATAAAAATAAAAAAAACTAGCCTTAAGCATACTGTATGCACAAAAATAGGTGTGTGTGTCGTATGTATGTGAGTATGCATGGGTGATAATGTATGCAGAGAAATCACTGTTGTTTATATTTTGCTCATACATGTGCACACACTATGGGTTTGAATATGTGGTGTGCAGGATGTATATATTGCTGAACTATTTGTACACATGTATATAGTATATGGACATTTGTGCTGGAACATGGGTATTCGCGTCACTGTGTATATGTGTACATATCAGAACGTGTATCTTTCAGGGCCTGTGTAGGTGTGTACATATGTACATGTGTGTGTAAATCATGGTCATGTGCATATAGGTACATGTGCAGGGATTAGATGTGGGAGGAGTGAACTCATGAATGTGCATGTATATGAGCAAGCACATGCATCTAAGTGAGTACGGTTGCATGAGTGCACAGCTGCTAACACAGCAGTCTGTCACTGATGACTTGGGACTTCAGTTGTACATCCAGAACTCACTCCACTTGGAACAGAGAAGTGGACCACAGGATACTGCCTAGGGAACATGGGAACATGAGCTTTACTGTAGCCCTGTTCCATAGGCAAGAGGCCGTGCTCTAGCCGGAGCACTGTGTTATCTGGAGAGGTCTTCAAATGGGCTGGGAGAAGCCTTCCTGGGAGACAGCAGTGCCTGTTCTCCCTGTGAGCTCCTTTCCATCCTAGGCTTATGCCTGCATCTCATCACCAGGTATGGCAGGTGAACATGTGGAAAGGCCATGGTTGCTCCACCACCACACACTCTGGGCCCATGCAGGAAGCCCTGGGTCCCCCTCAGAACTGCACCCCTTTTGTTGAAGGACTAGTGCCACCACTTAGGCCTAATATCTGACTGCTGGACATACAACTACCCTAGGGAGCCCCAGAGTCCCCGTGTTCCCATTACCAAGATGCCCAGAGTAAATCTTAAGTATGCATGCTTGCTCTACTGACCCCAGAGCCACTCTGGGTAAGTGAAACTGCTTACCTTTAAAAGCAGCTCCTGCAGTCTAGAGCTCCTGTCTCGGTTCTGTTTTTCTACGGCCAGATGGTCAGTAACCAATGTGAAGGTTGCTGGCCATTTGAGATGTTGGTATGTATGTGAGTATGTAGAACAAGGTACTCCTGAGTACCTAGGTTGCATGTGTCAGGAGCCAGCCAGCTTCCATGCATCCTTGAGGGCACAGAACACACCAGGCAGGTAGGAAGCCTTCACATAACATACAGTCCTGCCCACCACCCAGGGCTCTGCCTTATCCCATGGTTTTCATTTTTACTTCCATTTTCCAAGCTCTTTCTATTTTGGCTATATCTTGAGGAATAAAACCTCTACCATCTGGGATTGGGGTCAAACTCAGGTTTCCATTCTTGTTGGCAAGTACAATTACATGCTGATCTTGCTGGTCCCTAAATATTTATTACTTTATTTTAAAATAATAATAATAAACTCATTACATGTTAACTAAGTAGCACTATAATGAAAAAAATTATTTTCCAAACAAAAATAATGTTAAAGGCAACCTCTCACATTTAGAAGTTTACTTAAAGTTTGACTAGACAAGTGACAGGAATGTGACAGGCACATGCATAGGGAGAACCCCTCCCCCTGCCATGGGTACTTTGCCTTTCTTTCTGATGACTTGTA